AAACAGACAACCTACAGAATAATAGAAAATATTTGCAAACTATGCTTCTGACAAAGGTCTAATATCCAGAATCCAGAAGAAATTTAAACAAGTTTATAAGAAAATAAAAAGACCTAACCAAAAAGTAGACAAAATACATGAAAAATATGCTTTTCCAAAGAAGACAGACGTGGCTAACAAGCATATAATTAAATGCTCATCAATAATGATTAGAGAGAAACGCAAAGAAAAACCTTGAGATACCATCTCACAATAGTGAGAACGGCTATTAAAGAGTTACAAAAAAAGATGCTATCAAGGTTGCTTAGAAAAGGGAATACTTATACACTGCTCTTTTTATCTTCCCCCCCCCCTTTTCTTGGTTCTATGGAAAAACATATACACTGCTGTTAAGAGTGTACATTAGCCAGGCAAAAGGCCGGTGGATCACAAGTTCAGGAGTTCAACACTAGGCTAACCAACATGGTGAAACCTCATCTCTACTAAAAATACAAAAAATAGCTGGGCGTGGTGGTGAGCACCTATAATCCCAGGTATTCAGGAGATTGAGGTAGGAGAATTGCTTGAACCCAGGAGGCGGAGGTTGCAGTGAGCCAAGATTGCGCCACTGCACTCCAACCTGGGCAACAGAGCAAGACTCCATCTCAAAAAATAAAAAAAAAAAGAGTGTACACTAATTCAACTCTTGTAAAACGCAGTGGGGCAATTTCTCACAGAACCAGAAACAGAATTACCATTTCACCAAGCAACACCAGGTTGGTAATTCTATTTTTAGTTCTGTGCGAAACTGCCACATGAAGACACATGCACAAACATGTTCACTGCAACACTATTCACAATAGCAAAGACACGGAATCAACTTGAACACTTATTATTGGTAGACTGAATAAAGAAAATATGTTAAAGAAAATACGCGATAATAGGGCACAATGGCTCATGCCAGTAATCCCAGCATTTTGAGAGGCCAAGGCAGCTGGATTGCCTGCACTCAGGAGTCTGAGGCCAGCCTGAGCAACACGGAAAAATTCAATCTCTAAAAAAATACAAAAAGAGGGCTGGGCACGGTGGCTCAGGCCTGTAATCCCAGCACTTTGGGAGGCCGAGGCGGGTGGATCACGAGGTCAAGAGATCGAGACCATCCTGGTCAACATGGTGAAACCCCGTCTCTACTAAAAATAAAAAAAAAATTAGCTGGGTATGGTGGCGTATGCCTGTAATCCCAGCTACTCGGGAGGCTGAGGAAGAACTGCCTGAGGCAGGAGAATTGCCTGAACCCAGGAGGTGGAGGTTGCGGTGAGCCGAGATGAGCCATTGCACTCCAGCCTGGGTAACAAAAGCGAAACTCCGTCTCAAAAAAAAAAAAAGAAAAAAAAAAAAAGAAAATGTACGCTCAGTACTTCAAGTTGTCCGATAAGAGAAAATGACCCAGAAGCTGATATTCACTAGACACTCTAGCAGATGTAGCCATGCTGGGTATCTTGGTTTTTCCCCATACAGTACTAAAACTGTTTTTCCCCATACAGTACTAAAACTGTTTTTCCCCATACAGGCCCAAGAAAAGAACTGAAGGGTTGTAGGAGATCAGAATGGTGGGAGAAACTACAGGGAAAGGAGCAGGCCTGAAAGCTGAAGGCAGCTGTTCTCTAACCCTGAGGCAGAAGGCCCAGGAGTATGTGCAAGTGAGTGAAAGGGAAGTTATCTTGATAAGCTTTTTTGTTTGAAGTTGTCTAGAAACTGACCTTTGAACATCTGCACATGATGGTTCCCTGAAAGAGGAACAATAAATGTTAACTACCGGCAGATTGAGTTTGCCGCAGACTTTCCACATTGCACTGAATAAAACAAGGAAAGCGGAGGCAGCTGGATCTCTGACGGCAGGAGATCAAGACCAGCCTGACCAAAATGAAGAAACCCCGTCTCTACTAAAAATACAAAAATGAGCTGGGCATGGTGGCACATGCCTATAATCCCAGCTACTCAGAAGACTGAGGCAGGAGAATTGCTTGAATCTGGGAGGTGGAGGTTGCAGTGAGCAACCTTTCCACTACATCCTGGGAAACTCCATCTCAAAAAAAAAAAAGAAAGAAAAAAAAAAAAAAAAACAAGCAGCTTCTTTAGCTTCTCTGGGCTGCCTGTCTGGCCAGTAGAGCCAGGCAGTCACCCAGCTGCCCTCACACTGCATACCTGTGTCTGAGTGCTTATTTCATCTGTTGATCGGACAGGGTCTGCGGAACAGACTAGAAGGGTGACTGAAGACACATCACCCTATTAAGTTTCCAAAAGAAAACGTTGGCCCAAAAACGTTCTGGTAAAGATATCTTGTGTCTAGGGAAAATAGAAGAAAAAAAACACAAAGAGATATTTTGCAATAGTGTCAGGAGATTATTCTTTGCTTTCATAGGAAATATTTTTAAAAAGGAAACAAATCTTTTTAAGAGTGTCATCAAATATTTTGTCAAAAAAATCATTAATTGGCCAGGCATGGTGAATCACGTCTGTAATCCCAGCTCTTGGGAAGCAGAGATCAGCAGGATCGCTTGAGGGCAGGAATTCGAGACCAGCCTGGCCAACATAGTGAAACCCCTTCTCTACTAAAAATACAAAATTTAGCCAGGCATAGTGGCAGGAACCTGTAATTCCAGCTACTTGGAAGACTGAGAAAAGAGAATAATTTGAGTCCAGGAAGTGGAGGTCACAGTGAGTCTAGATGGAGCCACTGTACTACAGCCTGGGCAACAGAGCAAGGGTGATACCCTGCTTTTTGCCAGCTAAAACTAACTTTCCTTTTTCCTAAAAGCTATTCAGGCTTTATGTTAGCCTTTTTGAGCTGAACAGACTCCGATCGTGGTTTCTTCATTTTAGGAACCTTCTCCCCATTAAGTATGTAACTAATAATATAAAGCAAGGTCAGACTCACTCTGCGCACCCGGAAATGCCTTTGTTAATAAGAGGTCGAGTAAAGTGCTATGAGCAGAGTCTGAAAATGCAGCTGCAGTGAGCGCCCAGAGCCCATCTTATCTGTAAGTTGTATCTCTTTCATGACAGCTGTACTCCTCACACCTGGCACTGCTTTATTTCTTATGCATCAGTTTTTTCTTTTTGCCTACTCTGCCTGTGTGAAAACTTTGTTTCAGCTAGGTTCTCCCCTTCCTGTTAAAACTAGTACATAAAAGACCACCTAACTCGGTCGCCGGCTTAATAAAGAACTCATTAATTTATTCTCAGAGTGTGGCGCATTCCTTGACTCACTACGGTACAAAGCAAGGCTCCATCTCAAAAACTAAAAGAAAAAAAAAAGCTTAAAATAGGTATCCAGCCGGGCGCAGTGGCTCACGTCTCAAAATAAAATAAAATAGGTATCCAAATGTACACTAAAGAACAAATAGTTGATAAAGTGAATTAGGGAAGAGAAATTGTCATTTGGGATGTCAGAGGAAACTGGAAATTTAGTATTTTACTGCAAGCCAGAGTTAAGCTGAAGGGAGAGGGGTACACTTGAGGCACTGCTTGGGACACCTGAAAAATTCAGGGAAAAATCCTTCCCCTGTAGAGTGTGAAAATAATTAAGTGGCAGGCAATTTGATTGAGGTGGCTGCAGTCCCTGGATTTCTACTTCTAAAAAAAAAAAAAAAATTTAGGCCGGTCGCGGTGGCTCACGCCTATAATCCCAGCACTTTGGGAGGCCGAGGCGGGTGGATCACGAGGTCACGAGATCGAGACCATCCTGGTCAAGAAGGTGAAACCTCGTCTCTACTAAAAATACAAAAATTAGCTGGGCACGGTGGCGCACGCCTGTAGTCCCAGCTTCTGGGGAGGCTGAGGGAGGAGAATTCCCTGAACCCAGGAGGCGGAGGTTGCGGTGAGCCGAGATCGCGCCATTGCACTCCAGCCTAGGTAACAACAGCGAAACTCCGTCTCAAAACGAAAACAAAAACAAAACCCTACCTCTACTAAAAATTTTTTAAAATGGCCAGGTGTGGTGGCGGGCGCCTGTAGTCCAAGCTACTCGGGAGGCTGAGGCAGGAAAATCGCTTGAACCCGGGACGTTGCAGTGAGACAAGATTGTGCCACTGCACTCCAGCCTGGGCAACAGATAAAAACAAAACAAAACAAAAAAACCTACAGGCCGGGCGCGGTGGCTCATGCCTGTAATCCCAGCACTTTGGGAGGCCGAGGCGGGTGGATCACGAGGTCAAGAGATCGAGACCATCCTGGTCAACATGGTGAAACCCCGTCTCTACTAAAAATACAAAAAAATTAGCTGGGCGTGGTGGCGCGTGCCTGTAATCCCAGCTACTCAGCAGGCTGAGGCAGGAGAATCGCCTGAACCCAGGAGGCGGAGGTTGCGGTGAGCCCAGATCGCGCCATTGCACTCCAGCCTGGGTAATAAGAACGAAACTCCGTCTCAAAAACAAAAACAAAAACAAAAAAAAGCTACATACCTAGCCAATTATCGAATTTGGTTTTCTCCATCACAAGCCTCATAAAAATCTTTCCTTCAAGCTCCTTCCATGAACCACAAATTACAAACCACAGCTGGGTGCTCTACCATTTTTTAATCACCCTTTGATTAAATTATTTTGTGTTTTCGCGGTGGCGCCCACAAATTTTTAATAAGAAAAATCAGAGCCTGGGATCCCCACAGACCAAAGCTTTTCCCATTCAAGAACCCGCACCGGGTTAGATTCCGCCCTGACGATCCTTCAGTGGCACATGCACAATCTGGGAGAGACGCGACGCTACTGGTGCAGAGCTGCCCAGAGAGGACTCCTGGCCAGGGCACGGTCACAGCGCAGGGAAAACAGGACGCCTCGGCCCGACTGTCAGCACCCCAGCCATCTTACGGCTGAAGGGGACTGACGCTGAGCTGGGCAAAAAGAACTCGGGCGCTCATTGCGGAGCTGACTGCTGAGAGGCCTGAGGCCCGCCGCAGCCGCTTCCCGCTAGTTCCAACTAGCCCTGTCCCCTCTACGACCTGATGTCAGACCTGGCATTCTCACCATTTCTAGGCTTCCAGGGGATCCTGGCGTCTTAGCTGTGGATCTCCAATACCTGCAGGTCACAGGGCCACACAAGGTAGGCGACTAGGAGAACAGGACACAAAGTGAAGACGAGACCAGGAGCTGAGGCTACAGGGAAAGACAAAGGCCCCGCCATATCCCGAAAGCAGCCCCCTCCGCTCCAGCTGTGTGCATGATTGGACGGTTCCCAGCCAAAAGTCTCTGATTGGATTAACGCTTAAGACCCCGCCTTCTCTGCCCCTGAGTGACAGAAGATGTGATCAGAGGCTGGGCAGAATGAAGAAAGAGTGACAGCCTAAACTGCAGCCTTTCCAGGCAGGGCTTTCTCCCGGAGCTGAGCCAGACCCACCCCAGAGCAAGGGAAAATTCTCTCTTCCTTGTTCTCTCTTTTTTTCAATGTATTCAAAACGTGAATAAAAATATTTTATGTATATTAAGAATATATAAAATATTATTGTTCAAGACAAAATCAGGCCGGGCGTGATGGCTCACGCCTGTAACCCCAGCACTTTGAGATTACAGGCGTGAGCCACCCGCCCGGCCATTTTTAAATTTTTTTGTATTTTATTTTAATCTACATTATTTTTATTTTTTCAATTTGAAACAACCTTTAAGTAATTTTAAAGTAAACAAAATGTTTCTAACTTTCTTCATCAAAAGCATATTTTGTTTTTGTTTATACATTGTTTTTTTGAGAGACAGCGAGAGAGACTTAGTCTATCAGCCTGGCTGAAGTGAAGTGGCGCGATCTCGGGTCACTACAATTTCCTTCTCCCAGGTTCAAGCGATTCTCCAGCCTAAATTTCTGAAGTAGCTGGGACTATAAACGTGCACCTTCATCCCCGGTTTATTTCCGTATTTGAAGTAGAGATTGGAATTTGACATGTTGCTCAGGCTGGTCTGGAACTCCTCAGTTCAAAATAATCCTTCTGCCTAGGCCTCCCAAAGTGTTGGAATTACAGGCGTGAGCCACCGCGCCTGACAAGTGTTTATACACTTTCTATGAAGAAAGTGTATGTTTTTTTTTTACACCTAGTAGTCTTAGTTATATATATATTAATTACATTAACTGTAAACAAACTAATTCTTAGTGAAATTCCTAGGAAGTAATTTTGAACTGTTTTGTGTCAATATTTGTGGATTAAAAAACATTTTATAGTTTTGTTTTGTTTTGTTTTTGAGACAGAGTTTCACTCTCTTTGCCCAGGTTGAAGTGCAATGGCATGATCTCAGCTCAGGGATACCTCTGCCTCCCAGATTCAAGCAATTCTCCTGCCTGAGCCTTCTAAGTAGTTGGGATTACAAGCATGTGCCACCGTGCCCAGATAATTTTGTATTTTTAGTAGAGACGGAGTTTCTCCGTGTTGGCCAGGCTGGTCTCGAACTCCTGACATCAGGTGATCCTCCAGCCTCAGCCTCCGAAAGTGCTGGGATTACAGGCATGAGCCACTGCACCCCTACCCATTTTATGTTTTTTTTTTTTGAGATGGAGTTTCGCTCTTGTTACCCAGGCTGGAGTGCAATGGAGCGATCTTGGCTCAACGCAACCTCCGCCTCCTGGGTTCAGCCTCCTGAGTAGCTGGGATTACAGGCACGTGCCACCGTGCCCAGCTAATTTTTTGTATTTTTAGTAGAGATGGGGTTTCACCGTGTCGACCAAGATGGTCTCGATCTCTTGACCTCGTGATTCACCCGCCTAGGCCTCCCAAAGTGCTGGGATTACAGGCTTGACCCACCGCGCCTGGCCGTTTTATGTTTTTTAATAAAACATGTGTATTCAAATCTTCTGTTAGCTAACAGACCTAAATATAGTTAACTTTTCCTTTTCTTTTACTTCTTTTTCTTTTTTTTTTTTGAGACAGAGTTTCCCTCTTGTTACCCAGGCTGGAGTGCAATGGTGTGATCTCAGCTCACTGCGACCTCCGCCTCCTGTGTTCAAGCAATTCTCCTGCCTCAGCCTCCCGAGTAGCTGGGACTACAGGTGCACACCACCATGCCCAGCTAATTTTTGTATTTTTTTAGTAGAGACGGGGTTTCACCTTGTTGACTAGGATGCTCTCGATCTCTTGACCTCGTGATTCACCCGCCTCGGCCTCCCAAAGTGCTGGGATTACAGGCTTGAGCCACTGCGCTGGCTTTTCTTTTCTTTCTTTCTTTTTATTTTTTGTTCTTCAAGGTTGGAGATTCCTCTTCAGGGTGACTTTTCCATATCATATTAAAAAAAGATTCTGGATCAATGTGCAAAAATCACAAGCATTCCTATACACCAATAACAGACTTTTTTTTTTTGAGACGGAGTTTCGCTATTGTTACCCAGACTGGAGTGCAATGCTCACTGCAACCTCTGGCTTCTGGGTCCAAGCAATTCTCCTGCCTCAGCCTCCCAAGTAGCTGGGACTACAGGCATGCACCACCATGCCCAGCTACTTTTTGTATTTTTACTAGACAGGTTTCACCTCGTTGACCAGGATGGTCTCAATCTCTTGACCTCGTGATCCACCCGCCTTGGCCTCCCAAAGTGCTGGGATTATAGGCATGAACCACCGCAGCTGGCCACCAATAACAGACTTAAAGAGAGCCAAATCAAGAACAAACTGCCATTCACAATTGCTACAAAGAGAATAAAATACCTAGGAATACAACTAACAGGGAATGTAAAGGACCTCTTCAAGGAGAACTACAAACCACTGCTCAATGAAGTAAGTGAGGACACAAACAGATGGAGAAACACTCCATGTTCATGGTTAGGAAGAATCAATATGTGAAAATGGCCATACTGCCCAAAGTAATTTACAGATTCAATGCTATCCCCATCAAGCTACCAGTGACCTTCTTCACAGAACTGGAAAAAAACACCTTAAACTTCATATGGAAACAAAATAGAGCCCGCATAGTCAAGTCAATTCTAAGTAAAAAGAACACAGCGGGAGGCATCACACTACCAGACTTCAAACTATACTACAAGGCTAGAGTAATCAAAACAGCATGGTACTGGTACCAAAACAGATATATAGACCAATGGAACAGAATAGAGGCATCGGAGGCAACACAACATATCTACAACCATACAATCTTTGATAAACCTGACAAAAACAAGCAATGGGAAAGGATTCCCTGTTTAATAAATGGTGTTGGAAAAACTGGCTAGCTATGTGCAGAAAGCAGAAACTGGACCCCTTCCTGACACCTTACACTAAAATTAACTCCAGATGGATCAAAGACTTAAACATACGTCCTAACACCATAAAAACCCTAGAAGAAAATCTAGGCAAAACCATTCAGGACATAGGAGTAGGCAAGGACTTCATGATCAAAATACCAAAAGCATTGGCAACAAAAGCCAATATAGACAAATGGGACCTAATCAAACTCCACAGCTTCTGCACAGCAAAAGAAGCAGTCATTAGAGTGAATCAGCAACCAACAGAATGGGAAAAAATTTTTGCAGTTTACTTATCTGACAAAGGGCTGATATCTAGAATTTACAAAGAACTCAAACAGATTTACAAGAAGAAAACAAACAAGCCCATTCAAAAGTGGGCAAAGGATATGAACCGACACTTTACAAAAGAAGACATACATGAGGCCAACAAACATATGAAAAAATGCTCATCATCACTGGCCATTAGAGAAATGCAAATCAAAACTACATTGAGATACCATCTCACGTTAGTTAGAATGGCCATCATTTAAAAATCTGGAGACAACAGATGCTGGAGAGGATGTGGAGAAAAAGGAACACTTTTACACTGCTGGTGGGAGTGTAAATTAGTTCAACCATTGTGCAAGACAGTGTGGCAATTCCTCAAGGACTTAGAAATAGAAATTCCATTTGACCCAGCAATCCCATTACTGGGTTTATATCCAGAGGACTATAAATCGTTCTACCATAAGGACACATGCACACGAATGTTCATTGCAGCACCGTTTACAATAGCAAAGACCTGGAACCAACGCAAATGCCCATTGATGATAGACTGGACTGGGAAAATGTGGCACATATACACCATGGAATATTATGCAGCAATCAAAAACGATGAGTTCGTGTCCTTTGTAGGATAGATGAATCTGGAGAACATCATTCTCAGCAAACTGACACAAGAACAGAAAATCAAATACCACATGTTCTCACTCATAGGCGGGTGTTGAACAATGAGAACACATGGACACAGGGAGGGGAGCACTACACACTGGGGTCTCTTAGCGGGAATAGGGGAGGGACAGTGGGGGGTAGGGAGTTGGGGAGAGATAGTATGGGGAGAAATGCCAGATATAGGTGAAGGGGAGGAAGGCAGCAAATCACACTGCCACATGTGTACCTATGCAACTATCTTGCAGGTTCTTCACATGTACCCCTAAACCTAAAATGCAATTAAAAAAAAAAAAGATTCTGGATCTATAGACCCAGCTAGCTACTCAGAAGGCTGAGGCAGAAGAATCGCTTGAACCTCAGAGGCAGAGTTTGCAGTGAGCCGAGATCTCGCCACCCCACTCCAGCCCAGGCGACAGAGTGAGCCTCAATTAATTTCCAGGCACGGTGGCTCACGCCTGTAATCCTAGCACTTTGGGAGGCCGAAGTCGGTGGATCACGAGGTCCAGAGATCGAGACCATCATGGTCAATGTGGTGAAAGCCCGTCTCTATTAAAAATAAAAAAAATTAGCTGGGCATGGTGGCGTGTGCCTGTAATCCCAGCTACTCAGGAGGCTGAGGCAGGAAAATTGCCTGAACCCAGGAGGCGGAGGTTGCGGTGAGCCAAGACCGCGCCATTGCACTCCAGCCTGGGTAACAAGAGGGAGACTCAAACAAACAAACAAACAAAAATTAATTAACTAATTAATTTGGCCTGGCGTGGTGGCTCACGCCTGTAATCCAAGCACTTTGGAGGCCAAGGCGGGTGGATCACCTGAGGTCAAGAGTTCAAGACCAGCCTGACCAACACGGTGAAACCCCATCTTAAAAAAAAAAAATTAACTAATTAATTTAAAAATAAAAAAAATGGCCGGGCGCGGTGGCTCACGCCTGTAATCCCAGCACTTTGGGAGGCCGAGGCGGGGGAATCATGAGGTCAAGAGATCGAGGCCATCCTGGTCAACATGGTGAAACCCCATCTCTACTAAAAATACAAAAATTAGCTGGGCATAGTGGTGCGCGCCTGTAGTCCCAGCTACTCAGGAGGCTGAGGCAGGAGAATCGCCTGAACCCAGGAGGCAGAGGTTGTGGTGAGCCAAGACCGCGCCATTGCACTCCAGCCTGGGTAACAAGAGCAAAACTCCATCTCAAAAACTAAATAAATAAATAGATAAATGAAAATATTTGGTTACTTCTTCCATCTTTCTCATTATGTGTTCGGTATTTCTGTTTCTTTACACTTAATCTTGGTGTGTTTCTAATTTTTTGAGTTATCTAATTGTTGTCATATAATTTTTCATAGTAGTCTCTTATTATGTTCTGTATTTACATGAGATTCATGAAAATGATTTAACTTTTTTTATTTTGAGACGAAGTTTTGCTCTTGTTTCCCAGGCTGGAGTGCAATGGCGCAATCTCGGCTCCCCGCAACCTCCGTCTCCTGGGTTCAGGCGATTCTCCTGCCTCAGCCTCCTGAGTAGCTGGGATTACAGGCACGCGCCACCCTGCCCAGCTAATTTTTTTTGTATTTTTAGTAGACACGGGGTTTCACCATGTTGACCAGGATGGTCTTGATCTTTTGACCTCGTGATCCACCTGCCTCGGCCTCCCAAAGTGCTGGGATTACAGGCGTGAGCCACCGAGCCCAGCCCTACTTAATTTTTTTGTTGTTTGTTTGTTTTAGACTGAATCTGGCACCGTTGCCCAGGCAGAGTGCAATGGCATGATAACTGGGCTCATTGCAACCTCTGCCTCCGTGGTTCAAGTCATTGTCCTGCCTAAGCCTCAGGAGTAGCAGGGATTACAGGTGCACTCCACCATGTCTAGCTAATTTTTTTGTATCTTTAATAGAGATGGGGTTTCACCATGTTGGCCAGTCTGGTCTTGAGCTCCTTACCTCGTGATCCGCCCGCTTTGACCTCCCAATGTGATGGGATTATAGGTGTGAGCCACCGTGCCAGGCCTGAAATGACTTAAAAAAAATTTTTTTTTAGACGGAGTCTCAATCTGTCACCCAGACTGGAGTGCAGTGGTGGATCACTGCAACCTCTGCCTTCTGGGTTCAAGCAAGTCTCCTGCCTCAGCCTTCCCACTCTTAGCTATTAAAAAAAAAGCTAAGTATTTAGTACAGATGAGATTTCAACATGTTGGCCAGGCTGGTTTCAAACTCTTGACCTCTAGCAATCGTTCCACCTTGGTCTCCCAAAGTTCCTGGATTACAGGCAAGAGCCACTGCACCCGGCGACCTAATTTTTTGTTTATAATTTCTTGAACCCTTTCTCATGTTTCCTCGGTTAATCTAGCCAGAAGTTTGTCGATTTTGTTTTCCTTTTTTTTTTCTTTAACTCAACTCTATATTTCTAAAAGTATTTTCTATTGTCTTTTTAATCCCTGCTTACTTCTTTTTGTTCTAATTCTTTTCTTTCTCTTTTTTTTTTTTTGAGATGGAGTTTCCCTCTTGTTACCCAGGATGGAGTGCAATGGCGGGATCTAGGCTCACCACAACCTCCGACTCCTGGGTTCAGGCAATTCTCCTGCCTCAGCCTCCTGAGTAGCTGGGATTACAGGCACGCGCCACCATACCCAGCTAATTTTTCGTATTTTTAGTAGAGACGGGGTTTCACCATGTTGACCAGGATGATCTCGATCTCTTGACCTCGTCATCCACCCGCCTCGGCCTCCCAAAGTGCTGGGATTACAGGCGTGAGCCACCGGCCCAACCCAAAATTTTCTTATACCTAAGGTTTAACTTAAAAGTAATGCATATGTATATTTAACTTTATGTAAATCAAAACTAAGAATCTGTATGTGTTTGCAGGCAGAGAGGCCACATGTTCAAAACTATATAACAATTTTTTAATGTTTATTCAGGACTCAGCGTGTGTGGATTTTATACTTCTATATAATTTTTATTATAATCATAAAAATAGACCTGTAGTCAATAACAACTGTTCATTTAAAAAAACGAAAACAGTAGAATTGGCTTGTAATACAAAGGATTAATGCTGGAGATGATGAATACTTCATTTTCCCTGATGTAATTATTACATACTGTACACCTGTATCAAAGTATGCTATATATGGCATAAATATATAGACCTACAATGTATCCACAAAAATTAGAAAGTATAAATTTATGAAAAAATATTGAACCTATGGGAACAATATTCTTTAACCTCCTTGCTGTTTCACGTCACTGGCAAAAGGAATTACTAGAAATATTTGTTCATAATGTTACCAAATAGTATATTGTTACCAGCTTTTGCCTACACCCTTGAGGAAGGTGAAAGAGGTAGTGGAGCCGGGCGCGGTGGCTCACGCCTATAATCCCAGCACTTTGGGAGGCCGAGGTGGGTGGATCACGAGATCAAGAGATCGAGAGACCATCCTGGTCAACATGGTGAAAACTCCGTCTCTACTAAAAATACAAAAATTAGCTGGGCATGGTGGCACGCACCTGTAGTCCCAGCTTCTCAGGAGGCTGAGGCAGGAGAATTGCCTGAACCCAGGAGGCAGAGGTTGCGGTGAGCCGAGATTGCGCCATTGCACTCCAGCCTGGGTAACAAGAGTGAAACTCCATCTCAAAAAAAAAAAAAAAAGAAAAGAAAAAGGTAGTGGAATATTAACACTTTATTAAAGACAGAATTCTTTAAACATTGATAAATAAAAGTTTAAAAAAATTAAGCTCTCACATAATTAAAAAAATTTTAAGAATATACAACATTTTATTACATAACAGTACAATTAGTAAAATTATATACTACTACTTTCAACTAAAATTTAAAATGCTTTTTTTGGCCAGGCACCGTGGCTCAGGCCTGTAATCCCAACACTTTGGGAGGCTGAGGCTGGTGGATCACTAGGTCAGGAGTTTGAGACCAGCCTGACAAACATGGTGAAACCCTGGCTTTACTAACAATACAAAAATTAGCTGGGCGTAGTGGCACACACCTGTAATCCCAACTACTTAGGAGGCTGAGGCTGGAGAATCCTTTGAAGCCTAGGAGGTGGATGGAGGTTGCAGTGAGCCGAGATTGCACCACTGCACTCCGGTCTGGATGACAGAGAGAGACTTCATCTCAAAAAAAAACAAACAAAAATAAAATGTTTTTTCCTCACTATAATGCAGAATATTATTCTGAACACCTACCTCAGGCACCACCTATGTTAAAAAGAGCCTCTCAACTTAGATATTTATCGTTTGTCTTACATTTTAATGCCCTTACCCTTCCATATAAAAGATCGTAACGAATTCCCTCCTAATTTTAAAGTCTCATACAATAGGAATGAAGAGCATGAAGTAATTTGACAGTTGAAATTATGACACTATTCATGTTACAAATCTTTTTTTTTAAAGGTATATAAATATAAATTTATTTTAGATGAAGTTTTGCTCTTGTTGCCCAGTCTGAAGTGCAATGCCATGATCTCAGCTTACCACAATCTCCACCTCCTGGACTGAAGCGATTCTCCTGCCTCAGCCTCCAAGTAGCTGGATTACAGGTGTGTGCCACCACGCCCAGCTAATTTTGTATTTTTAGTAGAGATGGGGTTTCTCCATTTTGATCAGGCTGGTCTCGAACTCCTCACCTCAGGTGATCCACCTGCCTCATCCTCCCAAAGTGCTGGGATTACAGGTGTGAGCCACCATGCTAAAAGTGTACTTTGAATGTAATTATAACTTTACCAAAATACTTTTTGCATCTTTTACAGTTATATATAAATGATTTATCTACCAACTTTAGCTCTGGATGATTTTTTATACTCAGCACTCTGATTTACTGTAATGTCTCAGTCACTGCCTTAGATATTTTCACTGTAAGTTATCTGATATTGACATAAACTTTGTATTAAAAGTTTTATATTTACTGCATCTGCAAATATATGTATATGTGTGTGTGTATATATATATATATATATATATTTTTTTTAAGACAGAGTTTCACTCTTGTCACCCAGGTGGGAGTGCAAGGGCACAATCTTGGCTCACTGCTCCCAGGTTCAAGCGATTCTCCTGCCTCACCCTCCTGAGTAGCTGGGAATACATTACATGCACCAGCCACCATGCCTGGGTAGTTTTTGTATTTTTTGTAGGGATGAGGCTTCACCATGTCAACCAGGCTAGTCTCAAACTCTTGACCTGAGGTGATCCACCTGCCTCAGCCTCCCAAAGTGCTCTGGCCTGCAAAAACATATTTTAGTATAAACTCTCTTGTGTTTTCTAAGCTATAGGTTTTGATAAGTAGGTTTTTCCAAATTTATTACATTTGCAGAGTTTTTCTCCAATACAGAATGCCTGATGTTGAATAAAGTTTCAGCAACTGCTTCAGGGTTTTTCTCTAGTACAAAATGTGGGTGATAAGATCTGTGATACATGAAATGTACTACAACCTTCTTTGTTTTTAATATGTCTTCAAAATGAATATGCTTAACTTTAAAGGGTTATATTTTTTTTCTTGACAGTAATTGCATTTATAATGCTTTTATTAAGTCCCAGCATTCTGATATTGGGTAAGATGTGAGCAGATCTTAATGGCTATTCCATATTCTTTGTATTTGTACAATTCCTCTCAAGTATAAATGCTTTCCTGTGCAATAAGATTTGGGCATTAACAGTATTGCCAAATACTTCACACCTAGTTTTCTCCAGTGTGAATTATTTTATGTACAAACAAGTGTGAAAACTATTTAAAGTCTTTGACACATTCTTTACATTTCTAGTATGTTTCACCAGTACGACTTTCTTTATATTTAGAAAAGCTTAAGCTGTTGTCAAAATCATTGTCACATCTTTCAGTTTTGTAGATTTTCTCTCCAATATGAATTTTTTTATGTCTAGCAAGGTTCGCAGATTGGTTAAAAGCTTTGTCACATCTCTCACATTTGTAGGGTTTCTCTCCAGTATGAATTATCTTATGTTCATTAAGTTTTGAGAATTGATTAAAACCTTTGCCACATTCTTCACAGTTATAGGGTTTCTCTCCTGTATGAATTCTCTTATGTGTAGTAAGAGTTGAGGATTGGGTAAAAGCTTTGCCACATTCTTCACATTTGTAGAGGTTCTCTCCAGTATGAATTCTCTTATGTGTAGTAAGGGAGGTGGATTGATTAAATGCTTTGCCACATTCCTCACATTTGTAGGGTTTCTTTCCAGTATGCAGTTTCTTATGTTCAGAACGTTTTGAGGATCGGTAAAAAGCTTTTCCACATTCTTCACATTTGTAGGGTTTCTCACCAGTATGAATTCTTTTATGTGTAGTAAGGGCTGAGGAGTGTTTAAAAGCTTTGCCACATTCTTCACATTTGTAGGGTTTCTTTTCAGTATGAATTTTCTTATGTTCAGTAAAATTGGAGGATCGTTTAAAAGCTTTGCCACATTCCTCACATCTGTAGGGTTGCTCTCCAGTATGAATGTTTTTATGTTCAGTAAGATTTGAGGATCAGTTAAAAGATTTGCCACATTCTTCACATTGGTAGGGTTTCTCTCCAGTATGAATTCTCTTATGTGTAGTAAGGGAGGAGGAGTGTTTAAAAGCTTTGCCACATTCTTCACATTTGTAGGGTTTCTCTCTGGTATGAATTCTCTTATGTGTAGTAAGAGCTGAGGATTGGGTAAAAGCTTTGCCACATTCTTCACAGATGTAGGGTTGCTCTCCTGTATGAATTATCTTATGTGTAGTAAGAGTTGAGGACTGGTTAAAGGCTTTGCCACATTCTTCACATTTGTATAATTTTTCTCGAGTATAATTTTTTTTATATGCAGTAAGCTTTGAGAATTGGTTAAAAGCTTTGTCACATTCTTGACATTTGTAGAGTTTCTCACAAGTATAAATTCTCTTATGTGTAGTAAGCTTTGAAGACTGGTTAAAAGCTTTTTCACATTTTTCACATTTGTAGAAATTCACTCTAGCATAAATTCTTTTATGTTGAGTTAGGTGTGAAAGCATGCAAAATGACTTTTCACATTCTTTACATTTGAAATATTTATTTTCCATATGTTTGATCTTATGTCTATCTGCATGTGAAAATTTATGAAAGACTCGCACATATTTATCACACGGAAACATCTTGCTCTGGGTAGTTGGTAAACATTGGTTAAGTCCATTAAAACCTCCTTTGTGGACCTTACACTCAGCCACACTTTTGCAGCCGTTAAATTGAAAATTCTCATTTCCACATTTTTCATATCTTCTCAGTGTCATGTTTTGAGAATCTTTTATGTTCTGCTCTGGCCAAAACTCTTGGGCAAAATGAGAACACATTACTGAAAGAAATAAAAATAACATTACTTTACAGACTCAGATAAACAGACTTTCCAAATGTAACTCATAAAATTACACAAACTACACAAGCAAGATGACACAACAGGCCATAATTAAGTGAGTGCATTGCCCCAGGTGGGTACAATGCAAAGAGCCACACAGAAAAAAAGAAATTCTGTCACATTTCTCCAATACAGCTTTTTCTACTTCCCAACATAACATAATGTTTTTAGAAGTAAATTGCCAACTTTACTTCTTACAATTATTTATTTTATTTATTTATTTTTGAGATGGAGTTTCGCTCTTGTTACCCAGGCTAAAGTGCAATGGCGCGATTGCGGATCATGGCAACCTCTGCCTCCTGGGTTCAGGCAATTCTCCTGCCTCAGCCTCCTGAATAGCTGGGATTACAGCCATGCGCCACCATGCCCAGCTAATTTTTGTATTTTTAGTAGAGACAGAGTTTTCACCATGTTGACCAGGATGGTCTCGATCTCTTGACCTCGTGATCCACCCGCCTCGGCTTCCCAAAGTGCTGGGATTACAGGTGTGAGCCACCAAGCTCGACTTGTTTTTTGAATGAATCAGCTCTTACTTAAATTACCAGCATACTTATTGATTAGCAAGAGAATGGTGTCAAGTCATTCCTGAGGAATTTGCCCTCAAGACCTTAGCACCTCCCAGCAGATCCTACATTCACCTCTGACAAGGTCCCCAACCAACAACGATGATTACATTGCAGCATGAGGTTTAGAGAGCACAGACATCTAAGCCATATCACACACCAAATAGGCTTAACAGACCTGTACAAATGTTTTCAATTAAAAGTAAGAGAATACCCAATAAAATAAAATAATTTTTCTTTTCTTTTTTTTTTTTGAGACGGAATTTCGCTCTTGTTAACCAGGCTGGAGTACAATGGCGCAATCTCGGTTTACCGCAATCTAGGCTTACCGCAACCTCCGCCTCCTGGGTTCAAACAATACTCCTGCCTCAGCCTCCCGAGTAGCTGGGACTACAGGCGTAAGCCACTATGCCCAGCTAATTTTTGTATTTTTAGTACAGACGAGTTTTCGCCATGTTGACCAGGATGGTCTCGATCTCTTCACCCGTCTCAGCCTCTCAAAGTGCTGGGATTACAGGCATCAGCCACCACGCCCGGCAGCACTTAATTTTTCAAAGATTTCAATGCTGCCAAATGTGGTCAACCCATTCAACATAATCTCTACAAAAATCCCATTAGCAATGACTCACGTGTATAATCGTATCACTTTGGGAGGCTGAGTTGGGCAGACCACCTGAGGTCAGGAGTTTGAGACCAGCCTAGCTAACATGGTGAAAAGCTTTCTCTACTGAATATACAAAAATTAGCTGTGTGTAGTGGCACGTGCCTGTAGTCCCAGCTACACGGGGGGCTGAGGCAGGAGAATTATTTGAACCCAGGAGGTGAAGGCTGCAGTGAGTGAGATTGTGCCACTGCACTCCAGCCTAGGCCACCAAAAAAAAAAAAAGTTATACACACATAGACACACATTGGAATATTATTTACCTTTAAATAAATCTTGTTACATTTTAGATCAACTTTGAGAATATTATGCCACATGAAGCCAGTAATAAAATGATGGATACTATATGATTCCACTTATATGAGGTATCTTAATAAGTCACATTCATCGAAACAAAAGGTACAAGGGTGTTTGTCAAGGGCTGGAGAGAGGATAAAATGTGCAGTTATTACTTAATGGGTATCGATTTGTAATTTCACAAGATAAAAAGTTTATGGAAGTCATTTGCATAACAATATAAATATGCTAAACTTGCCTGAAGTGTCAATTCTTTGAGACAGGTTCTCATTCTGTCACCCAAGTTTGAGTAAAGTGGCACAATTATGGCTCACTGTAGCCTCGAACTCTCAGGTTAAAGTAATCATGCACCACCAATCTCCCAAGAAGCTGGGACCACAAGTGCACACCACCATGCCTGGCTATTTTATAATTTTTTTTTTTTTTTTTTGCAGAAAGAGAATCTCTGTACACTTCCCAGGCTAGTGTCATACTTTTGGGCTCAAGTGATTCTCCTGTCTTAGCCTCCCAAAATCCTGGGATCAAAGATGTGAGTCACTACCATGCCTGGCCATGAAATATAAACTGAAATAGATTTTAGATGGGAAAATTTATTGTATGTGGTTTTACAACATTTTGTTTTAAAGATAAATTTTAAAAATACAGAATCATAAATCTTTACCTTCAAATCACAGAAGTGTATCTCTCACATGAAAGAAATATATATTTATAATTAAACACAAGGTGAAAATAAGACTATCTTTATGACTAATCACTTAAACAAGATAAAACCACCATTGAAAATCAGCCAAGAATACATTCAAGATAAGGCATAATCAAAATTGGGGTCATATTTATAGACAAATACATATATATAATATGACTGGGATAAACATATGGCTTGCTTATCTCTTAATTAAACCACACATTGACTTAAAGTATACAAGAGAATTTTGCAAATTGTCTAAAATGGTAAAACAAAAACCACAATAAACAGATTTTTTATTTTACTTTAGGTTCTGCGGTACATGTGCAGACGATGCAGGATTGCTGCCTAGGTACATACATGCCAATGTGGTTTTCTGCTTCCATCTCCCCATCACCCATACTATATCTGCCATTTGTCCCCATGTTATCCCTCCCAAACATCCCACTTCCTGCTGTCCCTCCCCTAGCCTCCACCAACAGACCCCAGTGTGTGATGCTCCCCTTCCTGTGTCCATGTGTTCTCACTGTTCGACACCTGCCTATGAGTGAGAACATGTGGTGTTTGATTTTCTGTTCTTGTGTCAGTTTGCTGAGAATGATGGTTTCCAGATTCATCTACGTCCCTAAGAAATGACACAAACTCATCATTTTTTATGGCTGCATAGTGTTCCATGGTATATCTATGCCACGTTTTCCTTGTTAAGTCTATCATTGATGGACATTTGGGTTGGTTCCAGGTCTTTGCTATTGTAAACAGTGCTGCTATGAACATATGTGTGCATGTGTCTTTATAACAGAATGATTTATAATCCTTAGGGTATATACCCAGCAATGGGATTGCTGGGTCAAATGGAATTGCTATTTCTAGGTCCTTGAGGAAGCACCACACTGTATTCCACAATGGTTGAACTAGTTTATCTTCTCACCAACAGTGTAAAAGTGTTATTTCTCCACATCCTCTCCAGCATCAATAAATAGATTCTAAAGTGAAAAAGCACACGAATACAGAATGACAAAACTATCTGATAAGAGAGAAATGTTTACTCATAAAACCTTGCAGGCAACATTGATGTAGCATTAAAAATAATATGTCTAGGGAACTGTAATATTTGACTGTAACTGTACTCATGGAAGGCAGGTATTCTGAATCCTTGGCATATGCTATATGGCAGTATAATTCCAGAAAAAATGCAGTATTATCATAAGCGAAAGATTCTGAGATACTTTTTTGAGACGGAGTTTCGCTCTTGTTACCCAGGCTGGAGTGCAATGGTGTGATCTCGGCTCCCCGCAACCTCCGCCTTCTGAATTCAGGCAATTCTCCTGCCTCAGCCTCCTGAGTACCTGGGATTACAGGCACATGCCACCATGCCCAGCTAATTTTTTGTATTTTTAGTAGAGACGGGGTTTCACCATGTTGACCAGGGTGGTCTCATCTCTTGATCTCATGATCCACCTGCCTCGGCCTCCAAAAGTGCTGGGATTACAGGCTTGAGCCACCGCGCCCGGCCTCTAAGAAACTTTTAATAAATAATCATCTAAAAAAACTAGAAGGCTGGGCGTGGTGGCTTACACCTCTAATCCCAGCACTTTGGGAGACTGAGGCGAATGGATCACCTGAAGTCAAGAATTCAAGACCAGCCTGGCCAATGTGGTGAAACCCCATCTCTACTAAAAATACAAAAATTAGCCAGATGTGGTGGTGAGCACCTGTAATTCCAGTTACTTGGGAGGCTGAGGCAGGAGAATCACTTAACCCAGGAGGCAGAGGTGGCAGTAAGCCGAGATCACGCCACTGCACTCTAGCCTAGGCAACAGGAGCAAAACTTCGTCTCAAAAACAAAACAAGATAATTTTGGGCTGAGTGTGGTGGCTCACACCTGTAATCCCAGAACTTAGGGGGGTCGAGGCAGGTGGATCACCTGAAGTCAGGAGTTCAAGATCAGCCTGGCCAACATGGTAAAACCTGGTCTCTACTGAAAATACAAAAATTAGCCGGGCGTGGTGGTGAGGGCTCATAGTCCCAGCTAGTCAGGAGGCTGAGGCAGAAGAATCACTTGAACCTGGGAGGCGCAAGTTTCAGTGAGCCGAGATTGCACCACTGCACTACAGGCTGGGCAACAGGACAAGACTCCATCTTAATAAAAAAAAAACAAAAACCAAAGATAATTTTATGTTTTAAATACATGCTATTCTTACACAAAATGAAACTGCTGTAATCCAACTTTAGAAGCAAAAATTAGCCTTACATTGCTAAATATATATATAAAATGCTAAACATATATCGGTGTTAAATATATATTGCAGAATATGGTTAGAGTGTCTGATATATAAAACAAATATTTGGGAATAAATTATATTATTTAGGTATA